CATGATGGCTTTGGCCTGGAGGCTGACGGTGGCGAGGGCGTGAGCACCACGGATGCAGCACGCCTGTCTCACATTTCGGGGTGGCAAAGAGAGGGGTTGCCTGCGCGGAGAGGAAGGCGGCCTCGCGTGCGAAGGTGCGACGGAGCCCGGAGCAGGTCGGCTGCAGGCGTCATGCTGCAAGGAGCCATTTTTCTCCCTTGCCCTGGGGAGGTCGTCTTGATGGACTGACGGACTGATGGATTGCATTTATATACTGTCCCATTACTGGCATCTCGGGACGGTTTGCAACAAGCACAAATAAAATAAGTTTAAAATGGTACAGCACCCAGTGATAAGTATAAAGCGAGAATTAAGACCGATCAACCATTAAAATACTGGGGAAATAAAAGGGCTTTTACCTGGCGCCAGAAAGAAAACCACGCTGGCACCAGGCAAACCTCTCTGGGGAGTGTATTCCACCATCATGCTCCACGAGCCTCGTGTTCAGCTCCGTACAGGCTTTTTCGTGCGGCTTTTTCGTGCGATCCGGTTCTTGCCCCTCGCCACGGTCACGCAATGTGTAAAGATTATGTTGTAAGACACAAATTATTATGTTGTGAGCCGCCCCGGGGCTTCGGCAAGGGGCGGCATAGAAATGTTTTAATAAATAAATAAAATAAATAAGATGAACCCAGTTAAGGCAACCGACTAACAAAACTTTTGTGGGAAGGCCCAGTGACAGCATGCAGGGTATCAGGGGCGCGCTTGTCCTCCTGAAGTAACTCTGCTGCAGCCCTTTTTTAATAGCCCAAGTTGCTGCTAAACTGCTGAAAGCGCTTCCAGATACTTGCGCAATCTGGGCTGGCTTTCTCGGCTTGTCTCCAGGGAGTGTTCAGAACTCATCTGTCAGAGTCTGGCGTTCTATGTGACTGCTTTTTGCAAGGTGTGTGGAGCATGGAGAGAATGTTAAATGCTCCTGTCCCGGAGAACATGGGAGAACAAATGCTGGGCAAGGCATGGAGCCACCAGCTGTAGCGGCAGATGGATCCTGATTGCAGCTGTACACAGAGCTGGACCTGGGGAGGAGAGGGCACCTTCCTCTTAAGGGACAGCTGCCTAAATGAGAACACCCCACCGCATCAGAGAATCATAGAACAGCAGAGTGTGAAGGGGCCAGAAGGCCGCCGGGCCCAACTCCCTGCTTGGTTAAACCATCCCTCTCAGATGTCTGCCCAGCTGCATCTTGAAGGCCTCCAAGACGGGAGGCCACTGCTTTCACTGTATTTCTCTAACAGTCAAGAAGTTCTTCCTGATGTTCAGCTGGAATCTGGCTTCCTGGAACTTGAATCCGTCATTCTGTCTCCTGCACTCTGGGATGATCAAGACGAGACCCTGGCCTTCCTCTGTGTGGCAACCTTTCAAGAACTTCTACAGTGCTGTCTTATCTCCTCTCAGTTATCTCTTCTCAGGGATAAACATGGCCAGTTCTTCCTGTCTCTCCTCACAGGGCTCTGGCTCCATTCCCTGGATCATCCTTGTTGCCCTCCTCTGAACCCTTCCCAGCTTGTCTGCATCTTTCCCAAACTGTGGGGCCCAGAACTGGACACAGGACTCCAGATGAGGCCTCACCAGTGCTGAGTAAAAAGGAACCAATACTTCACCTGATTTGAAAGTGATACTTCTAGCAATGCATCCTGAGATAGTGCTTGCCCTTTTCTGCAGCCACATCATATTGTTGACATTCAGCCTGCAACCTACGGCAATTTCAAGATCCTCCTCATTGGCAGTGTTGTTGAGCCAGGAAACCCCAGGCTGGTTTAGTGGGCTCACCTGCCCTTTGGAAGGCTTCGGACATCTCTGTGGGAATATGGATTGCGGCAGCGTTGGATGGACTGGCCACTTCCTTCTGGCAGAAGCCTAGTGCCCACTTCCTAGAAGTCAGAACATAGAAACAGAGTGAGTCAGAAGGGGCCTCCCGGGCCATCTAGTCTGACCTCCGGCTCCAGCAGACTCCCCTTATGACATGCCTACCATGTGCACGTCCAGCCTGTCCTTGAACACCCACACCGATGGGGCCTCAACAACCTCCCGTGGAAGCCCATTCCACGCCCTCGGGGTCCTGACTGTCAGGAAGTGCTTTCTGGTATCTAAATGGAACCTGGGTTCCCTGAGCTTTGCTCCGTTGGAGCACATCCTGCCTTCCTCTGCAGGGGAGAACAGGTCTCTGCTCACCTCCGTGTGACCCCCCCCCTCACATACCTGTATGTCACCAACAGACCCCCTTGGCGTCTCCACTTCTCAAGGCTGAAGAGACCCAGTTCCCTCAGTCTCGCCTTATACGGCATCCCCTGCAAACCGGCCACCAACCTTGTGGCCCTTCGCTGCACTGACTCCAACCTGGCCATATCCTTCCTGTAATGAAGGGCCCAGAACTGAGCACAATACTCCAGTTGCGGGTGCACCAGAGTTGCATAGAGGGGCAGTGATACCTCTCTCGATCCAGAAGCCACACTTCTGGCTATGCAACCAAGGGTGGCGCTCGCCCTCTTGGCCACCGCATCACACGGGTGACCCCTGTTCAGCCTGCAGTCGACCAGCACCGCAAGAGCTTTTCATGAATGTGGTCATGCGCCTGCAAAGCCATTAACGGCCCTCAAGGCAGGCCTGTCTGCAGTTAGTTTATTTTCCATGCCACGACGATACATGGGGTGGGGGTGGAGGAAAACTCTCAGGGCTACCAGCGTGGGGGTTGTGGCCACCAGTCCTGCACAGGTGCTTCCGAGGGGCATGGGGATGGGTTCTGATTCGCATGCAACTTTGGCTATCGGCTGGTACAAACACGGGAGAAGTGAATAATTCGAAATGGAGAGGCGCTGAATTTCGGAGCTGTGCAAGGCGGCACAGGCCCAAGGCTCAGAGCGGCTCAGCAGCATCCAGGCAGCCACTGCAAAGGGGCCCAAGCTGGTGGCACATGGGCCGGCCGGCCGGACTTGATAAACCATGTGGTGCTGCAGCCATCTTCAGAGGCAGCCCCACGCGAGCACGCTGCAGTAGGAGGTTACCAGAAAACGGCTCCGTGAAGTCCTGCAGTCGCAGTGCAAGACGGAGGGGGCCTGGGGAAGCGGACCGGATTTTTGCTCCGGTAAATCCGGCCCGGCTCAGCACGCGGCGCCTCTCCGCTCCGCATAAATTTGGAAATGGCGCCATCTACTGGTCCAGGCTGCGGGTGCACAGAGGCGCTTTCACGCGCTGGCTCAAAAGGCGCCATCAGCGAAGCCGGGCTTTTCTTCTGGCCGACCGGTCAGGGTTCGCCAGGCAGAGATACACGGACTCTAACCTGGCTGGCAGGATGCGCAGCCATTTGCACCTCAATGAGTTGCTGCACGCCTGATCCCGAGGGCAGCACCGCGTCCCCGTGAGAGCGTCCTCTTCCACCAGTTTCCCTGTCCCCTTTAAAGGCTGCCCAAGTTGATTGAGGGCAGCTACTTCATCTGGGAGAAGAGGACTTTGCAGTTCAAGTAGTACCTTCTTTTAATGGTCCAGAATAGAAACAGAGAAACAGAGCGAGCCAGAAGGGGTCTCCCGGGCCATCTAGTCTGACCCCCGGCTCCAGCCAGCTCCACTCATGACATGCCCGCCATGTGCATGTCCAGCCTATCCTTGAACACCCGCACTGGTGGGGCCTCGACCACCTCCTGTGGAAGCCCATTGCACACCCTCGGGGTCCTGACTGTCGGGAAGTGCTTCCTGGCATCCAAACTGAACCTTGGTTCCCTGAGCTTGGCTCTGTTGGAGTGCGTCCTGCCTTCCTCTGCAGGGGAGAACAGAAGTATCACATACAAAGCCCTAATAAGAAATCACGTAAAATTGATGGGTAAAGACAACATTTCCAGAACCAAGCCGAGGGTTTCACAGTGATGCAAACTGCGTATTTTGCCCGCTTTGCCAGGGACGCCTCTCTTCATTTTGTCCCCAACTCAGCAGGGTCATTGACTGTGGATAAGGAGCAAACTCCTTGAGATTTACATACCACTGAAGGAAAAGATGAGAAGACACGATTTCAGAATCCTCTACTGAAAAATAATTCTGTGCCAGGAATTTTATCGATTGACAATTTCCTCCTTGACACTTTTTTTCCTGTAATACAGCATTACTTGAATTATTTGCCGATTCATGATCCAGGTAAATACAGACACTGTATATTGCTAATTTTCAAGGCAAGGAAAATAGATTGCACTGCAGTCCTTCAGCAGATCTTTTTATGGTGGTTTTACAAGCCCTTAATTTAATGCTACATAATTTGGCCAAGGCAGCTACTGCAGCCAGTGTGTTTCCCGATGTTTACTCTGAATGAAGTTCCATTGATCAAAGGTCCCCTGTGAGGTTAATCGGTAGTTTCTCCTTCAGGTCATGTTGTGTGTTCAGTTGCCCAAATCCAATACTTCAGATGTGCCTTTCTACAGTTTCTCGGTCTTGGCTGGCGGGATGCCAGTCGTACCACAAACGGGACGCTGCTGGGGTCCATAAGAGACCGTCTCCTGCATTTCTTTCCTTTGCAAGGGGAAAAGGCTTGCATCTCCAGATTCAAACTAGAGTCGGGGTAAGTGAAGACAGCTAAACTCCACCCCATCTTCCTGATTCAAATTATCCCTTGGAGCCACTGTTTCTACCGCGTGGAGCAAAGTATTGGAGCTTGTATGTTCCCTGCCCCCGCCCTACAGGACGAACAACGGGGAATGAATGGGGTTGAGAGAATGGCATGCCTACCATTGTATTCTGGTATTGTGGAAGGTTTCAGCTTGGCCACAGAATCATAGAGTCATAGAATGGCAGAGCTGGAAGGGGCCATGAAGGCCATCTAGTCCACCCCCTGCTGGTGCAGGACACCAAGTCACACCCTCCCACTCAGGGGGCTGCCCAATTTCTTCTTGAATGGCTCCAGTGTGGGAGAGCCCACCACCTCTCTAGGAAACTGGTTCCACTGCTGTATTGCTCTGACACTGAGGAAGCTTTTCCTGATGTCCAGCCTGAAGCTGGGTTGCCGCAACTTCACTGGATTATTCCATGTCTACATGGTGGTTTTCCCTTACAGTTCCCCAGAAGCTTTTCCCAGGCAGCCAGATCACGGACTCGTTTTGAGTGTGTTGCATGCAAGGAGTCGGCTGCGTTCCAGGAGAAAGGTAACGAACAGCCTGCTTTTGCCAGTCCCGGAGAGACTGTTTACGTTCTTCTCAAGAAACCTGGTTGCTTGGGGAGGGCTGCCTGGGCCCTGCCTGATCCAGGAACTCCTTTAGCGGAAGCAGCTCAGGACTCCGTAAAGGAATGTGCACTCGGCCAGAAGCTGCCTTAAAAGTCAAATCTTGGGGATGCCTTGCCAGGGGCCCCCAATCAGGGAAGCAGAAAGGTGGTGTAGGGGCACCCTTTGGCTGGCTGAAGTCTGTCATGAGGGGTCTACTCAGGAGGAAGGGGCTACTACAAGGTCCAGCTGCAAGGGATGTCCCAGCTGAGAACTAGGAGGAGGAGGACCTGCTGTAAATGGCCCAGAGAGTTTGGGCACTTGGGTGCTGCACCGTCTCGCAGTGAATAAATGTCTCCCCATCCTCTAGCAGCCTCTGCCAGGCCATTAGCTCTTTTGCACCCGTTTCCTCTCACTTTGCGCTCATGGACAGTGGCCTTTATGGGAGGAGAAGGTTGCAGCCATCGCAGTTTTAATAAGGATGTCGTAAATGACAAATGTTCCGGGTCAGCCCCCGGTGGATGGGGCTGCTGGGAAGAACAGCAGAGCCAGGAAATGAACACAGAGCAAGAGAAGCTTAGTGGGGGAAGCAGCGGGGTGGCCGCTCCCAAGGAAAGCATGACCTCACCAGAGCCCCCACACTCTTCTCGGGTGTCCTCAACCCTGCAGGAGTCAAGCAATCAAGGAGAGATTTCATAGCAGACGGAGCAGTGGGCGAAAGTCCTGCAGGCTGCAGGCACCCAAGTAAAACAGCAACAGAAAAAGTTTGATAGATTAGGAACTGCTTCTGAGTTCCCGAGATCTCTGCCATCGTTGGAGGAAGAATGTGGGGCTGGATCACCCCTCTGGCTGGTGCGGCTGCTGATATTCTTCTTCTCAGGTGAAGACGGCCTTGCAGATCCATTTAAATTTATGCAGGCAGCTGTTGTCATTCCATGACTTCAACACTCCGGTTTGGAAGTGGACACAGTCTTCCTGCTGCTGCGGTGCTTGATCCCAGTTGTCAGGTTGTCCTGATGACCAGAAACTTGAAAAAGCAAGAGGGGTGGAGGGGAGGGGGTGTTGTGTCATGGCGAGGAGACCAAAAGACTTCCCCATATTGGTGGGAAGCAGTGCAGGAGCCGTGTGATCACCCGTCAGGCACATCCTGGCAAAACCTGAGTCCCGGGGAAACCAGGCAGAGCTCCTTGTCACAATGTGTGCAACTGGGGTGTGTGTGCAACCTGTTGGGAGCAGGAACCGTGTGGTGCAAGCCGGGGCTTCAGCTCTGTGGCCGCTGCGCAGGAGACCCGCTCCCCGGCGCATGTGCTCTGTGCCGGCAGCCTTCGTTTGTGCTGCTGCAAGTGCCGTGGACGAAGGCTGCCGGCTGCCCCACTGAGGCTCGCAGGCTGGGAGGGGCGGATTCTGCAGGGCTTCATCGCAACGCTCGGGCGAAGCCAGCCAGCGTCTCCTCTCTCATCCTCCTGCCAGCAGGTTTGGACTCTCGGGTGTCTGTGCCTGCAGAACTGCCGCATGGCACGTGCCAAGCGTCATCCAGTGCCTCCCCGTATTCTGGGGCAGGGCTCCTCCTCCACAGCCCTTTCCACTCCCTAGAACTGCCGCACAGGCCAGCCAGGCAGGGAGCTCTGGCACCAGGAAGTTGCCCGGAGAGGAATTGGCTTCCTGCGACTCAGCAGGTGATCTGAGCCAGACTGCAAGGAAAGGGACAAAACCAACCCAGGCTTCCTTGGGGCCGGGACATGGACTTCAAACATGCTGCCATATTCGCATATACTATTAGATCATATAATCTTGTGGCTGCCTAGTTATCCTGCCTAGAAAGCTAGAAATGTCTCGTGTTTCGCACTGACAGCTGGCAGGAGTGCGGAGCGTCTGTCCAAGGCACCATGTCGCCTGGGGAGCTGGCAGCCCAATCCGCGTTGACCGCCAAGGAACACCGGCTTGTTTCCCTCTTTCCTCCCATTTGTGCAGAATGAGGAGCAACCTGGAATAGGTCTCTGGGCGGGGGATCATCAGGATGCCAAGTTCCAAACTTAGAAACTTTATAAACATGGATAGAAATGAGGGAGAAAACAGATAAAACATTCTACGTTCTAGATAGCTTGCACTAGACCATTCCAAATTTACTCGTGAGGTGCAAAGTTCACTCACGCTGTTCAACAGAGGCTCTCCAAAGCCATCGGGCACAAGCCTCATCTTATCATCATGCAGACCTGCGGTGCGTCCTGGCAGGCCTTCCTGCACGAGGCATTTATCACGCGCTCGTCATGGTTGCTCTTCAGACGACTGTCGCCCTCCAGTTTTGCTTCTTTGTCTAACCAGCCCTTTCTAAGAGGGATTTTTTTTAAAAAGCAGGACGACTGTGGCATTTAATTGTGGAAGAGAGAGAACACCATTCCCTCTGTGCATTTGCACTGTTTTGCTGTACCAGAAAGGGAACTGCTGCGCTTGTGATGCTGAGATCTCGATTCTGCAGTGGAACTGAAAATACTCACAGCAGACCGACAGCTCCGTATTTTCATGCAGCTGCTTCCCTGTCCTTTCTTCCCTTTCTTCTAGCGCTTCCTCTAACTGCTCTTCCCTCGGCACTTGCTTCCCCCCGCACCTTATTTGATGAGTTAACTGTTGCCCTCATCAAACGTTGGGGTTTGTCCCACCCCCAGGGGCTTTGGAGCCTTTCACCCCAAACCTGTTTCAGTCTCAGTAATCATGACGCACGGCCCACCGCAGAGGTGGGAGCCTTCTCTGCTTGACTTCTCCACTCCTTCGAGGAGGAAGGAAGGCAGTTGAGAAGGCTGGCCTTAAACGCTCTGACCTGGAGCTGGGTTCCGATGTCATAGAATCATAGAACAGTAGAGCTGGAAGGACCCATGGAGGCCATCTAGTCCACCCCCCTGCTGCTGCAGGACACCAAGTCACACCACCCCGTTCAGAGGGCTGCCCAGTTTCGCCTTGAATGCCTCCAGTGTGGGAGAGCCCCCCACCCCTCCAGGCAGCTGGTTCCCCTGTCGTCTTGCTCTGACAGTGAGGAAGCTTTTCCTGGTGTCCAGCCTGAATTTGGGTTGCTGCACCTTGAGCTGATTCTTGCGCTCTGATTTATGACCTGAGAAATCATCTATGCAGCTGCGCATGGCAGAAGGGAAGCACTGGGAAGCACATTTCTGCGTGCGGCAGCCGACTGCAAAACCGCCCGGGTTGAACCTAGTGGCTGGGCTCCCTTGTCCCCCGCAGCCGGAGGGGTGGGTGGCCTGCCTTTTTCTAGCTGAGCAAAACCGCTGATGCCACGGAGGGCTCGCCAGAGTTTCTACCAAGTTCAGTTGAACATCTCACACGAGCTGTTTTAGCTGTGTAAGTTATTTTTGCCCTTTGAACGTTAAAAGCTTTAATGTTTTCTTTTTCATCTCACATTTGCAATTTGGAAATCCTGTGAACTGCCCAGGGAGCTTTGGCTGCTGGGGTATGTAGACGCGGCATGAAATAAATTGATATATAAACTGGAAGCAGAGACATCACCCTGCCAACAAAAGTGTGTATAGTCAAGGCTATGGTTTTCCCACTTGCAATGTATGGCCGTGAAAGCTGGACCATAAGGAAGGCTGAGCGCCAAAGGATTGAGGCCTTTGAATTGTGGTGCTGGCAGAGACTCCTGCAAATCCCTTGGACCGCAAGGCGATCAAACTGGTCAGTCCTGGAGGAGATCAACCCTGACTGCTCTTTAGAAGGCCAGATCCTGAAGATGAAACTCAAATACTTTGGCCACCAAATGGGAAGGAAGGACTCCCTGGAGAAGAGCCTAATGCTGGGAACAATTGACGGCAAAAGAAGGAGGGGATGGCAGAGGATGAGGTGGCTGGATGGAGTCACTGAAGCAGTTGGAGTGAGCTTAGGTGGACTCTGGCGGATGGTGGAGGACAGGAAGGCCTGGAGGAGTGTTGTCCATGGGGACACAATGGGTCGGACAGGACTTCACAACTAACAACATAAACTGGAAAGGGCTGAGCACCTGCTAAAGAGGATCGGCCCTCTGGTTCCTTCCTCTGAAAGGTTTCAGACAGGGGTCGCTTGCACATCAGCACCAGTGGCAGAACCAACTCCCCCCCCCCCCCCGCACCACCTCCCAGCCGTGACTGCTGAGCGTTGCCTACCTGTTTGTCTGGTTATATATGGTGCCATCTGTCCAAACCCAGGTGCCTTCTTCCTCCTTGTCTGTGAGCCCAATCCAAAACTTCTTCCCACCAGTCTCTTTGAGAAGATATTCCTGGAACGACAGTGTCAAGCCACGCAAGAATATTTGTGACCCAACAAAGAAAGAACAAGGGGGGAACAGGGGGAGAGTGGGGGCGGGGGGGAGAGCGAGGGAAAACTCTTCTTAAATCAGGGCTCAGGCATAGAATACATCTAGCATTGTGACCTCTAAGTTTGACAAGGATTTGAAAGGGTGAGAACTGCTGGCCTCTCTCCAGATGTGTGGCTTGGCTTGGGGGTTTGCAGGCAGGTGAGTAATCCCATTTTATACCAGCTATATGCGGAAGGACACACTGCAAAGGTCAGCACACATGTTCCCAAAGATCACTGCCAACATCAGCGCTTCTCTTTCAGCTTTATGGGCCAGACCATCACTCTTCTCCACGTCTGTTGAGAGGTGGAGAAGAACCCCATGCAGGTTGGGTTTCCATCTAGGCCTGCATAAGGTTGCACCTGTGCAGTCCTGGGTCCCAGTCTCAGCTTTTAGGTCTGTGCATAAGCGATACGCATCCTATCCTGGGGGTCTAGGGTCTAGTCTAGCTAACACTGGGCTAGTCCTGAGGGTATATTGGTGCTGACACATCATTGTAGCAAGGCGTGAAGTATAAGATAAAATGAATAAAACAAAATGAAAAGCAATCTTGCCTTCTAACAAGGAACAAGAGTTTTCCTTTATTAAATTGCAAGTTCTCCCAGGTCTGTCAATGAGTTTTTTGTGGATGGGTCCCAATGGTAAGGCTATTTATGCACGAGCAATCCATTAATCAATCCATTAATCATGTCGTGAGTGGAGCCGGCTGGAGCCGGGGGTCAGACTAGATGGCCCAGGAGACCCCTTCTGACTCGCGCTGTTTCTGTGTTTCTAACAGTAGGTCAGAATCATGGAATCCTAGACTAGTAGAGCCGGAAGGAGCCAGAGGGCCGTCAGGTCCAGCCCCCAAGCTCAACCGTCCCTCCAGCTGTCTCCCGAATGCCTCCAGTGTGGGAGAGCCCTCCCCACACAGTTCTCGGATTCTGCGGTGTGGGAGGGCAGGGCGGAAGGTCCCCATCGCACGCCCTGTGGCCAGTATGGGTGGGAAAGGGGACTGCTCACCATCTCTCTCTGGGAGGTGACAGAGGCCAGGTGTGCCCTGTACTCTGTGCAGGACTCCTCCGCGTCCTCCCAGGACTTGGCTGCCTGGGAGAAAAAGTAGAAGCTCCCGTCGAAAAACTGCCAACCGGCAGAGATCACTCTCTGGACATCCCCTTTTGGAGCAAAGGACAAGATGGTTTGCCTCATCGAAAGCAGAAGAGGGAAAGGTGGCCACACCGGGATGGTCTGTCCTGGGCCAACAGCCACGTGGCTTCCCTGGCTTGGGGGCTTCGTCTGGCCTCCAACACCCATCATCCGTGGCCAAGTAAGCTTTTGGCTGCCAGGCTCTCGCTTAGGGAAGGCGATAACAAAGAGCAAGTGGTGGGCGGCAATCAAGGATGGAGGGAGCAGCCCAAGACCACGGTCGTGTCGTTCCTCGATAAGTAGGGGGTTGTGCAGGGAAGGTGGGCAGAGGAGCTCACCCCCCGCACAGTCTCTCCCAGCCCGCCAACCTCCAGACGTGTGGGACTCCAGCACCCATGCTCCCCCTCCCAGTGGCTGGTTCTGCTTCCTCTCTGCAACTCGACCCGCACCAGCACTGGCGCTCTGCAGATGGGCTGGAGCGCAGCTCCCCTCCTGCCCAGCCGGCAGGGCCACCACGGGCTTTTCCGATTCCCTTGGGCGTGGAGTGGGAGGCGGGGGAGGCCAGTCGCCCCCGTGGGCCAGCGGGGCTTCTACTCACGGTAGCGTTCTTCGGCAGTCCCACTGGTGTTCTTCAGGTGGGACTCGGACAAAGACAGTCCCTCACTGAGGGCTTCCAGCAGCTGGGCAGACGAGAGCACCGACCCTGGTGGAGTCAGGACAGGAGAAGGTTTGGGGCGAGTGAATTTGGAAGGACGGCCGGGGCGATCCTGCCCGCCTTAATGCGCGAGTCCCATTCAGCTCCCCTCCCCTCCTTCCAGCCAACATGATGGGAGTTGGACTCCCACGCAGCTGGAGGGCAGCAGGTTTGGAAACATCCCTCCGAAGCACACGCTGCTTATGCTCCAGGTTGGGGTGCTTTGTACACTGAAGGGGGTTTGGTCCAACTGACAAAGATCCTGCTGTTTGTATTGAGCCGTTTGATGTAGACCCCACTTCTCTACTAAAACAGACACTCAGGATGGCTTTCAAAGACCAGCTTCGAGTATTAAAACACATCGCAACACACGAAAAACGTAACAACTGCAGGATAAAAACAGCACGGAGCATCCTACAGGCGAAAACCTTCCTGAGGACCATGGTCTTTGCCTGCCATGGGAAAGACAGCAGAGGGGGTGCAAACCTCGCCTCCTGTGGGAGGGAGTCCCACAGCCTGGGGGCCACCACCAAGAGGACCCGTTCCGCCTCGCCCAGCAAATGTGCCTCCGACATCGGCAGTGCTGAAGGAAGGGCCTTTCCAAACCGCCTCCAGGGCCTGGAGGGCTGGGCTGGTGGGGGCAGGTCGCCCTCAGGGAGCTTCGTAGGTTGTCCGCCTCAGGTTGCTTTCGGAACCGTGCAGGTCCTGGTAGCCCAAGTGCTGCAGGTGGGTCTGCTATCTGACCAGCTGAGCTTGGGCAGCTGCAGTGCTTCGCCCCCGTGTCCCAGCAGGGCCCTCCCACACCCCCGGAGTGGAAGCCACCATCTATTTTGTATTTGCCAGGTGGAAGCCGAGTTGGGTGCTTCGGGGACATCATGGGGAATTCAGAGCAATGCCTTTCCAGCAGCTCGGCAGGATGGCTCTGCGACTCTGCAATGGTGTTCTTGCTTTGCGCAGGCTCAGGGGCACTCTCTTTGCCAGCCAGCCAGCCAGCGCCGGTCCAGCAGAGCTGCAGCCAGGCTGCTCAGAGGCGGCTGCCCGAGCTTCACCCCTTCCAAGGGCCCTGGGCACTTGGAAGAGAGGAAACAGAGTTGCGGGTAAGCAGATGAAAGGTGCGAGGGCCGCTGTACTTACACAGAATGACCACCACGGCAGAAAAGATGGCCAGGAGGAGAACCAGGAGAACCAGGAAGAGCACGATGGAGATGGTTTTGGCGTGAGATGAGGCACAAGCAGATTTCTTTTGAGAAATGTCTGGAAGCAGAGAGTGGGAAAACAGTTGCTTGCCTGCCTGCCCGCCTGCCTGCTTGCCTCCCTCCTGTGGGATTCCGGCATGGACAACCAACACCTGAGGCCAAAGAGCCCCACCTGTGTCCCAGGAAGACCATCTGCTATGGTGCCAAAGCGGATGGGATTTGTTTACTTTTGGGACGTGAGCAGGAATGGGCGGCACCTGCCAGTTCTCCTCCCTACGCTGCCCTCCTCTGGAATGCCCTTTGGTTTCTGGCTCGGCAGCTATTGTGTGGATGGGCCCAGGAGTGGTGCAGCAGAGCCTAAGGGCAGAAGCAGGTGGAGGGCCGAGTGTGTGTGTGTGTGTGGGGGGGGGGGGGTGGCCCGGAGTGAGCTGTGTGGGAGGCAGCAGTGCAGCTTTACAGGCAGGCGAGAAAAGAGGCACCTCCCAAGGGGCGCCTCCTCTGCTACGAGGCACACCGAGCTGGGCGCGGAATCGCCCCCCTTGCTCCCGATCCCCCCCGGAAAGCAGCCGGGACCAGGGACGGCCCCGCCTCCCACTGCTCCCCGGGGCTTCTATCACTCACTGTCCCCACTCCATTTTTCTGGGACCTGCCCCCAGAAGCAAATCGGTTTGCTTCTGGGGGGATGTCGGGATGGCTGCCTCAAAGGGTCTTTGTGGCCAGCGGGTGATACCGATGTGGCTCTGCACATCTGGAAGACGCCAGCTGGGGAGGGCTGGCCTGACAGCCGTACCCCCAAGGGGGGCGGGGAGGTGGGCCGTGAGGCTGGCTCCGCTCCGTGTGGCCTGAACCTGGGCGATGGAGGCCACCGAGGGAGAGGTTCCACCGCCGGCTTGGCAAGAGTGGCAGAACCGTCCTCGGGAGCTACCGGTGCGAGCAGCCCCAGAAGTGCCCACGCAGCCTCGGGAGCGGCTTTCTCCCCACCAGGAGCCGAGGCCGTTTGCAGCTTGGTGTGGCTGCTTGGTCTCCCCCAACACCCATTTCCACCCCCGCCCCCCGGAGATCAGAAAGGGTGCGCTGGGTTTTGGTTGTGCGCATATTCACACAAGCGACAGGTGCGTGATGGCAATTCGCTGCTGTCTTGCCACAACTCCCTCCTGTCCACAATTGCCCATCTGGCTGAATAACTGGAGGGGCTGCACCGCCAGTGGGCGCCACGCTGGGGAAGGCAGTGCCGCTGCGCCGCGGCCGAGCTGTTGTCCACCGCCGGGCACCAGCAGATCTGGGCAGGGCAGCCGGAAGCATCTTGTCGGAACGGAAATGGCTGTTATCAGGCCCCTGCTGCACCCGGCCTCCAGGCCCGCGGAGGAAGCGCCACAAATGCAACACAACTTGTCGCCTTTTATTTGTGCCCTTAGCTGTGGCATTTATGTGCCGCCCCACGACCACGTTCTCCACGTGGCTGGCAGAATAAAAGCAAGCTAGAAAAACAGATGGGTCCACAAGCGCCTCTCAGTTGCCGTCTCTGAAAGGCCAACATGCCTGCGGATCTTGGCCTTCCTACCGTTGCCATGGTTGTGCTGCAGGGGCCGCTCTGCCTGCCCAGCAGGGGCCGAAGGGGGCTGCATGAACCAACCTGCTTTTGCCCCTCAGACACATTTGGGGTGCAGGGATGCAGCGGCCCACTATCAATATTCTCCACCAGCTCAACTCCTCCCTCTGCTAAAGTCCTGTGAAGCTCGGACTGAAGCCTTTCCCCTAACAGAGTTCCTTGCCCTTCTGCTCCTCCAAGCCAGCTCTTTCTGGTGCCGCTTCTGTGTTGCGTTTGAGACAGAGAAACACAGAAACAGCGAGTCAGAAGGGGTCTCCCGGGCCATCTAGTCTGACCCCCAGCTCCAGCCGGCTCCGCTCACGACATGCCCACCATGTGGACGTCCAGCCTGTCCTTGAACACCCGCACTGGTGGGGCCTCAACCACCTCCCGTGGAAGCCCATTCCACACCCTCGGGGTCCTGACTGTCAGGAGGTGCTTCCTGACAGTTAGGAAACCTGCACTTCTTTCTGGAGAGCGGCAAGCGACGGAGCTCGGGGGCCTGGCATGCCCTCCGGCTGACTTGGCTTCTTTCGTTTGCCCGCTGCGCTGGAGTTTTGCAGTTGCTTTTTGCTTCAGGCAACTGTTTTCACTTCAGGTTGGTGCCCCGTCGGTGAGGACAGGCTGGACATGCACATGGTGAGCGTGTCATGAGAAGAGCCGGCTGGAGCCGGGGGTCAGCCTAGATGGCCCAGGAGCCCCTTTTGACTCGCTCTGTCGCTATGTTTTAATGGCCAGCCCTAGTTCTGATGCCTCGTATTCTGTATTCAGTAAGCAACTCCTATTTTGTCTGAGAAAAGCACGGCACCTGTGCCTTATTAGCAAGAGTAAGAGCAGGGAAGCCCGTGTCCTTACCATGGTCTTCAATATTCATGGAATTCTGATAGAAGTTCTCCTGAGCCCTCCTCCTGCCTTTGGTCAGAGCCTTGGACATGGCTGCCTCGCCGGCACTGTCGCCATTGACTGGCTGTTCCCCTTGCGATCCAGGGTCGTGCCATTATGTCATTTGCATCTGTCAGGAGTTTGCTGTCACGGCATTTTGAGGCTTTCCAAGCTGCAGGCAGCTGAAAACTCGTGGGTTTTGAGGTTAAACACTTCCTGGCCGCAGCTTCTGCTCCTCTTGTGTCCTTCTCAGGGCTGGAAGTCATACCCACCCGTTTTGGGGCTCAGCTCTGGTTCTGAAACTTCATCAGTGCTCTCTCCCTCTCCCTCTCTCTCTGCATGCTCTGGAACTCCCTCTCTGACTTCTTACTATCCTCAGGAGCACCCTTCCCATGGGCCGAGGCCAGCCACACAAAAAGGACAGCCTGGACAAGCTTTTCTCTGATCTTGCTCTGGGCTTTAGAAGCTTCTAAGAAACACCTTCAAAACTCAGTGTGACTGCATGCCTCGATCCTGCAAGAAGGGTGTGTGTATCGGGGGGGGGGTGTCTCACCTGGCCTTGCCCTCCACTAGGGGTGCAGGACTTCAGGCCTGGGGTCTCAATCCAGCCGCCCAGGAGAACGCGTCTAGACCGAGCCCCCTTTCCTGGCTGGCCCCCCTCCCCACTTAGCCCGTGGCAGGATTTTAAATGGGGGCGGGGGGACAGTCCTCAAGATTCTCTTTCATCCCCAGTGCAACTCCACAGCCACATGGAAGTGCTGGGAGAGGTTTGAGAGAAATTTGTGGCTGGACACTGTCGTTCTGTGGAGGAAGCCGTGGCGGTTTTCGACGGAGGTCTGCGTGCCGTGCCGGGTGGGACACAAGCCAACTGCCGGAGGCTAAATTTGGAATGCACAAGACGGAGTTGCTTTAGGCCAGCGGGGCCAGGGGTGGGGTTTTACTCTGGCTCTGCCTGAAGGAGCTGGCATGCAGCTGGGAGGGCTCCTGGACCAGCCATGCTTGAATATTTACCTGCAAATTGAGAAAGGGAAATATCCCCATTGAAGGCCTGGTCTAAACACACATGATGGAGCAACCGTACTGAAGCCCAGCGGGTCCGAGTGTGGTCAGAAATCCAGTGCTACCCTGCACTTCTATGAAAGAAGAGGAGAATTTAAATGTGGTATATCAAATTTCCTTGTGCTGTTTTTGTTGTCAGGTGAAGACCCTCTTGTTCATCTGGGCATCTTCAAATAACATACATTGTCCAGGACTCTCAGATTTGAAATCTGCATTTTATTTGATCACCACACTTGTATCTTATCCTGTATCGGTGTCACTTTGATACTGAACTCATTGCAAGCTGTCCAGAAAAGTTTGTGCTTATATTTCTGAAGCAGCATACAATGGCCAATAGCATTTCGAAACTGCATTTGGAAACAATTTTGCTTAGAAAATACATTTACAAGGACCAAATGATGTTTGCAATTCCATATAGGATTGCAAAGGGTTCTCCGGGGAACTGAATTCTGTGTGATGAGTGTTGACCGCCCACAGCAGGCCAGCCAATCATGCCACAGCACCGGCTGAATGGGAAGAGTTCTGGAATGTTCTACATCACAGGGAAAGGTAATTGGAGCAGCTGAAGAAAGAAGCAGGTGCGGGAAGAAACAGGTAGAGAGGAGATACACCGACTGAAGTCCTACCAGATACGGACAGAGGCAACTCTGGGTGGGAATGGGATTCCTATAAAGCTACCTTGGACTGGGGTCAGGGCATTAGTTATCAGGACGACTTATCTGGCCCTGGGTGCTGCAGTCTCACATTCCAGCACTCTGGCAAAGACACCAAAGGGAACCATAGAAACAGAGCGAGGCAGAAGGGGTCTCCCGGGCCATCTAGTCTGACCCCCGGCTCCAGTCGGCTCCACTCACGACATGCCCACCATGTGCACGTCCAGCCTGTCCTTGATCACCCTCACCGATGGGGCCTCAACCACCTCCTATGGGAGCCCATTCCACACCCTCGGGGTCCTGACTGTCAGGAAGTGCTTCCTGGCATCCAACATGAACCTTGTTTTCTAAGCTTTACTCAACTGAAATGCATCCCGCCCTCCTCCACAGGAGGAACCAGGCCTCTGCCCACCTCCGTGTGACATCCCCTCACATACCTGTATGTCGCCAACAGACTCCCTCTGAGCCTCCTCTTCTCCAGGCTGAAGAGACCCAGTTCCCTCAGTCTCGCCTCATACGGCATCCCCTGCAAACCGGCCACCAACCTTGTGGCCCTACGCTGCACTGACTCCAACCTGGCCATATCCTTCCTGTAATGAGGGGCCCAAAACTGAGCACAATGCTCCAGCTGTGGGCACACCAGTTTCATCTGGAGTACCTGCTCCTCAGTTGTGGCCACTGCCAGTTTTAGTTTCACCTGCGAATCTGATCAGCAGACTGTTCACCCCTCCTTCCATGCCATTTATGAAAAGATTGAACAGGATCGGCCCCAGGACAGAGCCCTGGGGGACCCGCTCGTCACTGGTCGCCATCCTGATAATTCCACACTCTGTGAGATTATCTCATTACAGAAAATCCCATGGCATAACTTGATGGTTATAGTCTTCAGATATCACGCAGCTGATGGCAGGTAGCTATAGGCCCTTGGAATAGGTCCACATCGAGGCAGTGGATGGACAGGTTCCTAGAGCCCAACTTCCCAGACATTCCACAGCAGGATGAGGGACCCACGTGGCGTTTCGCTGCTCCTGTGCCAAGCGAAGGGATCCTAGAGACAGGTGGGAATTATCCGCCCCCTGCTGCAGGGAGCAAGGCCAAGTCTGCGACCTGAGCCGGAGCCTCTGGGTGCCACAGGATCTCGGTTGCTTTTCAGACAGAGAAGGGTCCGAGCTCTGCTGCTCTTGAGACGAAGGAAGGGATTCTAGAGAGGCATCAAGCACAAGATCAGTCCCACCACCGGACAGCGCCATCCCAAGGCATTCAGGAAGGGGGAGAGGCCATTGTTGGGAGAAGGAGCCCCATGACCAAAAGCATGAGAGAAACAGGGGTGCTCGTGGTCATGGGTCCACTGTGGGAATGTTCGGCAAACATGCGCTCCCCTTAGTCACCCTCGCTCGCGGCTGCCTCCTCTCAAGTCTCCTGCCAGGACTTCTTGGTGGAAGCTTGCTCCTTGAGGAGGTCGCGTGGTAACGACCTGCTCCGTTGTGCAGCCCTTGCAGCGGAGCTCGAGATGGGACAGCGGGCCGAGTGAGCATCGGGCATGGGGGCCAAGCCATTCTCCACAGCCACCAGTGGTAAGTGCCTCCCCTGCTATCGTTTGCGCTCCCAGGACCGAACGCGGCCCCTCCACCAGGGTGGCTGCTCATCCTGCTTTGCAAGGGAGCACTCCCATCGCTCCGCCTGCCTACCTGTCCGTCTGTCTGTCCACCCATGCATCCACCCACCCTCAGTTCTACGTGCCTTTTAAAGATGGAGAGTAGAGTGTGCCCTGGGGCTCCGGACGAGGCCCATCGGGGTGAGCACAGCTCCACCAGCCTGTCTTCTTCCACAGCGGGGTGAGAGAGATTCCATTTCTATGCGACTCGAACCCATTCCTTCTCAGTTTGCATCAATCCATGCAAGTCACCATGGGAAAATGCTGTGCAAAGTCGGGTGCTCATCACCAGAAGGTTTTTTAGGGTTGCACATTTCTTCTTTCATTGTGCAAAACTACTATTTTTGCAGGAAGCATGCTCTGTTTTGTGAGGATGCCATACAAGGCCACTTTCCTTCTGAACTTTGCTTGCTGCCTTGTTCCTTCTTTCAGCCCTGGGGACTCACGAGGCAGGGACAGCCCCTCTCACTTCTGGCTCCTTCCTCGTCTCCTCCTGGGGGTGTTCTGCGGCCCACTGTTCCCTCCCCTCTCGGTTTCTCCCGCTGCCCTTCCTCTCTTCGCCTCTCATCCTTGCTGTTTAGGCAACTCTGGCCCTCTGCAAAGTCAGGTTTCCTGTGCTGGGAGACAGGCACCTTTCAACAGATCATTGCTGTTTTGTGGGGATTTCAACCTGCCCTCTTTCTTTCTCTTTCTCTTTCAAGAGAGAGCAGGGCAGATTTGGGTGAGAAGGCAAAGACCGTGGCCCACATCAACCGTCCCAAGGTCTAGCCCTGCCACGTGCACCCCAGAGATGGACCAGGAATAGAGACAGCGGTGCCAAATTCCAACAGAGCATCCCTCACACAAGCACCCCGTCCCTCTCATGCGCTGCCGCACTTTCATGTCTGCTGCAGACGAATCACTGTTGGTTACCTGGGGTTACCTAGCAACCTGCCTGGGGTGTCCATAAGTTATATTTCTCACCGGGAATCCTGGGCCCAGTTCTGGGCACCAAGATTTAAGCAAGATGCAGAAAAATTAGAGAGGATCCAGAGGAGGGCAAGAAAAATGAGGCAGGGTTTGGAAGCACTGCCCTGTGAGGAGAGACGGAAAGAACTGGGCATGTTCAGCCTTGAGAAGAGAAGACTGAGGGGGGACATGGTATCCCTCTATAAGGACCTCAAAGGCTGTCACAAAGAGGAAAGTCGAGATCTCTTCTGGCTGATGCCAGAGTGCAGGACATGGAAGAATCAGGTCAAGTTGCAACAACCCAGGTTGAGCCTGGGCATCAGGAAAAGCTTCCTCTCTCTTGGAGCAATACGGCAGTGGCACCGGCTGCCTGGAGAGGTGGGGGGCTCTCCCACACTGGCGGCATTCTCAGCCACCTGAGTGGGGTGGGGTGGCTTGGTGTCCTGCAACAGCAGGGGGCTGGACCTGGTGGCCTTCATGACCTCTTCCAACTCTCCCATTCTATGAGTCGATGAGTCTATAAGCCCAGGGGGCCAACGCATTGGCTGAACCTAGCGCTGCTCCCATGGGCTGGTTTATAAGACCCTCTGGGCCGACGTGCAACCCACCCTAGTTACCCATGGCTCATTAATTAACCCACTGTGGTTTAATGTGTTGTCCAATCCAGTGTAGCTTGCTAAGCCACGGTCAAGCCAAAAATGAAAGGGACTCCTTGGCAAAAGATTGTTTCTGCTCTGGCCAAGGGGTCCAGCTGGTGGGGTTCCACTGAGGGCTCTGCACCAGCAGAATCTTCTGCACCTCCGATGTGCTGCAGTGGAGTCCTGGATGGGGCCCAGGGGGCTCGTTCGTGGGCCTCAGTCCCAGGAGAGTGGGCTGCTAGATCAAGGTGTTCTCTTCAGTTCCCGGTACTTTGCACCACAGGAATCCTGAATGAGCTTCTTTGGACTGACCTCTTGTTCTGCCTGGCACCGGATTCCTACTTGGGCCTATTTCGGATTGCTTGCCTGTGTTTGAAATTCGGCATGCTCTCAGACACTGCTTTTAGAAAACTCACTATTTGACGGACACTCCGGCACCTTCT